GTAACGCGTCAGAGAGTAACGCTCGGGGTTTTAGAGGTTTTACTTTTGTGATCTTGCTAAGGCGGGTGATGTCGATGGGTCGATTCTTGGTGGAGATGGGCACCATGTTCCAGCCCTCGTCTTGGGGCTGGGCCGCCCGGCCCCTCGCTGGCGTGTGCGGACCCCGGTTGTCCTTCTTTGACTGCAGCTGCTGCTGGACTTTGATCTGTTCCCGGTGCTCCTCCATCTCTGCGTCTTTATGAATTTGGTCAATTGTTTTGGGACCCTGTTCTCCCCTACGAGGAACCCAATTATTCTAGGAATCGCAAAAGGAAAAGAAATGAATAAATAATCAGCACCACCACTTATTTTTGAGCCGCTTTACTGCAACTTCGGTTATCATTTACCTTTCTTAGGTCCAAAACATCTTGCAGCATGAAGCGGATTCTGGACGAGGTTTTCCTCTCTTTGATGATCTTGTCCATCTGGTTGAAATACTGATCCATACGAGGCTGAGAAAGACACAACATTTATGGCTTTTATATGCCTTTGTTATGATACAGGAAGTAAAATAGTATGTTCATGTACAGTGCCAAAGATACTTTTGTAAGTCTTCTCAGTTCCTCAAGCCATCATAAATAATCAGTGGCCCAGACACGTGGCACAAAGAAACAGTCATCACAGAAGACTATTTGACGTCACCCACTTCCTTCTGTACATGTCGATAACCAACTAACCTTGGCCTTCTCGAAGTCCAGGTCTTTGCCAATGGTGGACAGCAGTCTGCAGAGACACTCCAGAGATTCTTCGTCATGGTTCTTCAGTAGTTTGACCACACAGTCGTGCATGATGGCCTCCGTCAGCATTTTCAGCTTGAAGAGTTCGCCGATGAATTTTATGTTACCCAGCGAGCGCCTTCGAGCTTTGTCTCGGGCCTCTTCCAGTTCCACCCTTAAACGCTCACGCTCCTCGTCCTGCAGAGAAATAAGCAGAAGGTTTGTTTGTGCTTTCGTGGCCACAAGATTGATTTTGTGCAAACAAATTAAGGAGAAAAATAAAAAGAACATACATTCTTGGAAGCTTCCATCTCTTTCTGCTTTTTCTCAAAAAACTCATCATCGTCCTGGTCCTTTTCAAACTCCTTCTGGCAGCGGTTGAGGAGAAGTTTGCGGAAGTTCACAAAGTTTCCAGGTTTATCCGGGGTGGGCACTTTCAGCTGGAGAGGGGCAACAACCAACCAGAGGTTGACTCAATTTAAAATCAGCAGCAATTTGGGGGATAAGCACAGACCGAAAATAGATCATTTCTGCTCTTTCAGTTCCTCAACACCATCATGAGCAATTCAGTGGCCCAGACACGTGGCACAAAAAGTGAGTCATCATTAGAGCAGTGACGGCGTGCACAGCACAAAACTCACCCCTATAAGGCAGCGGCACATGTTGGCGTAGGCTACGGAGAAGTTGGGCTCCGAGATGGCCTTCTCGAAGATGAGGTCGATGGTTCCCTTCAGCCTTTCTTCTGTGTCTATTTTCAGCTCCATCACCTGCTTCATCAGCTCCTGGAACTTCTGCGGGGTGAGCTTGTTCAGGATGCTGCGCAAACGCTTGAACAGCTCCTGAGTCTTCGCCTGCTCAGCGTCGGCCTCTTCGGAGTTGCCGTCTTCGGGCTTTATGGTCGAGGGCTTCCAGGCGTTCGCAGCTTTGTTGAGCTGCACGCTGTCCGTGAGGGACCTGCTGTTGATGATGATGATCTTCTTGGGCTCTTTTCGCAAGCTCTGCTGGGAGCGATGTGACCCAGAGGGCTGAAAGCACAAAACAGAAAAATACGTTTGTTTTTTTGAAATGCAACGTCAAGTTGTAGTAATTCTGAACGGAGGAAGCTGTGATTTTAAATAACCTGGGGTCGTCCTGCAGATTTGCCTCCGAGACCCCCCAAATATGTAGGAGTGAAATCCGAACCCACGCTCATCAGTCGACTGGGATCAACAGGTCGCAGCGGAGTCTTGTTTACCTGGCAAAGTGAAGTAGGCTGTAAAATACTGGTCATAAACCTGCAAAGATGAGTCACCTCTGACTATTCTGAAATCAGAAGAAGAGACGATAAAGTCCCGAAGCAGAGGGATCAACACATTCCATGCACTGTGGTTCCATGCTCACAGGATGGAACTACAGGATGTAGCATAGCTGCTTCAAAATAAAATTACACTTGTTAAAATTTCTTCTGACTTTATTGTCTGCCGATTGCAGTTGAAATAAATAACCAAATTAATTGTGATTGTTTAACTAATTGTCAATTGTCAACTGGTGTACACAGACTCAAAAAAAAGAAAGAACATATTCAGAGCAGCAATAAAGCCAAAACCTTCACAATAAAAGCCTTTTCCTAGTATAAAGCCACGACATGACTCCAGACAAGCAGCAACATACCTCGTCTAGGACAACGTCACTGATGACAGGCAGACCCTCTGGTTTGTGCATACTGGCGCTGCTAAACTGGAAGCCCAGAAGAAACTCTCTGTCATACCGCTTCTTTGCTTCTGGGTTTATTGGCTCCCCCAGGTCTGAGTAGCACACATTTGGGATGCGTCAGTAAACTTGATTCAAGTGAATGCTTAAAAGGTTTAAACTGGATAACAAGGGTAAGTAATGCGAGTAGGAAAAGTGCTGCTTGGAAGGAAGGGAAAGAAAATCACTACAAGATCTCATCAAAATTTCATAGATCTTTTAACTATTTCTTTTTATAAAACGGTTTGAATCTTTTCGGAAACATGATCCAAGTCTCCATGATCATTTTAACATTATATGAATTAGTGAACCAAATAACTTTGACAAAACGCTTCCTTTAGTGCTCTTAACTAACCTTCTTTGTACTGGTATTTCTGCTCAGTTGGCTCGAGCGTGGATTTGAGCTTGTCCGGTTCAGCACTCTGCTTGTCCTCTTTTTCCTCCCAGGTCTCATCTACCGCTTCAGCGGGAGGCTCGGCTGTCGCTGGAGGGCTGACCTGGACTACTGAGGGTTCAGGAACAGGCTTGGCATCCGGCTCCTGCTAAAACATAATGATGTTTAAGTTAGGAGCTTGCAATAGTGATAAAGAGCCATAAAGACTGACCTGTTCTCAAAGTTATGTTACCGTCAGCAACACAGCAGCTGAAGGGAGTCTCACCTCTTTGAAGGCATCCAGAAGGCCCCCAATGGCTTTTTTGTTGAGCTCTTTCATGCTCTTCTTCTTCTTTGGCACAGACGTAGCAGCTACAGACAGAGAACAAGATATTGAACAAAACGGAAGAAATAAAATAAAAAAAAAATAACCTGTTTGGTTTATTCTGTATGCAATAACCTTTTTCCTCTCAATTTCCTCCACATTTATTGGACGTCAGCATGATCTGTTCTGATGTATAATTAAAACAAAAATTTGTATTTTATTATAATTCATGTCTTCACTGCCAAAAGCTTCCCCTTATAACAAACCAACTTCAGCAGCTTGAGCAGATGTCACACTCTTATCTGTAGTTTGTGTTTAAATCTGTATTTAACGGTAATAAAAACACATAGTGGCAGTAAAGGAAGACAGTCATGGCAATTTAAAAATCGATAGATTTCACACCCAAGGAAATACATATCCTTGCTGGCGCCAGTAAAACGATCCCATCATCTGCCTGGAAGATGGCCAAACAATCACGCCGCCATTTATTCAATCAATCCTAGTAGTGGTTTGATGTACATGACAGTGGATCCATTTGACTGCTTTTGTTGTTGTGTTCTAGATATGATTTTATTTTTAAGACGCATTGCTCAGCTCTAGGGCATCTCATAATTAAGGTGAAAACAACAGTGTGGTGTCAATGTCTTTTCTTTTACTACCAACAATAAGATGAAACAAGTGAGAATCACGTCAATCTCACCTTGCATAGTAGTTTCCTCTGGGCAGCTGGCAGAGGCAAGAGGAGCATCTTCAGTTTTCTTCTGCAGCTGCTCTTCCTCCTTTGTCTCCTCCTCCTCTTCTTCTTCTTCTTTCTGTGCTGGTGTCACTGATTCCTGAGATTGAGAAGGGTCGGGTTTGTCCTGGGGCGTAGCGTCAGACACCGGGACATCTTCAGAGAGTTCTTCAGTCTCCTGAGGAAGGCCGTTGGGAAGAAGAGACTCTGCTGGCCGAACCGCAACCAGTTCTGGTTCTGAGCTCTGGTCCGCATCCTCGGCCTGTGAAGCAGCAGGTTCTGGTACAGCGAGGGGCCGAGAGACGTCGCTTGACGGTTTTGCAGCAGCGTCCTCTTTCACAGTCTCCACAGGGGTGACTGCAACTTCAACAGGGGGTTCTGACTTGGCGCTAGCTGTCGGTTCCTCTTTTTCCAGTTGAGCTCCTTCTGGCTTCACCTCTTTCTCTGCAGACGGAGCAGCCTGCGGCTCCTCTGTTTTCACCGGCGTCTCTTGTGCTACCGGTGATGCAGAAGGTCTGACCGGAGCATCCACTGTGTCGGCGGCTTTCGAGCTGACCGTCGTTTCTGCTTCAGCAACACTGCTGATACCTGCTGCTGCTGATGGGAGAGAAGGCGGAGACTGCCGCTCCTTTAGCGACGGGGAAAGTCTCTCTGCTGCGGCCGCAGCGGCCACAGATTGAGTTGCTAATTCAACAGGCGGCGTAAGTTGTCTGTTTACTTCCTGTTTGGTCTCCACCACAGGATCCGTGTTTGCCGGAGCAGCAGGTGGAGGACTTTCAGGGGAGGGAGAAGACTCCGCCGGCTCATCTGTCGAGTGTGAAAATTAGAAAATTTAAAAAAATAAAGCGTGTCGACAGGCTGACAGATTAGCATTTGTTTGCTAATCAAACTCGAATGTTTCCTCACCTCTTCTTGTCACTACAGTAACAGTCTGTCCGACTTCACCATTGGTCTGGGCAATACTTACTTCTGCTACAGATGCCTACGATCAGAGACAAACAGGTTTTTAAAGCAATGCGTAAGATAATCCAGTTAATTTACAGTGACAATTTTTATTGTTTTTTTTAATCTATGAATAAAAAAAAATCTTTCAACTTGTGTGAATGCGAACTCTTCAGACCTGCTAATGTAGATTAAATCACTTTCTATTGCACACTTTCAGTATCATAACGCTCAAGAGCTAAATCAAAAAATATTCCCAAAACTCATTATCTGATCGAAAGGAGCATCGTCAAGAGACACTATAAACTAAGCAACATAGTTTCTCAATATGTCACAATGCAGAGTGGAGATAAACTAATTAATGTTGAGAATTGACGTGACGCTGGCCCCGCCCCCTTGCGGAAGTGGAGCTATCCTCCGACAAGCCAACTGTTTTTATGGCAGACGCAACGGACCTCAATGTGTTACCCGAGACGTTTTTTTGAGTCATTTTGGCCTTATAAACCAACACTGAGGCAAAGACGGCCAGCAAGAAAATTCTCCAACTAATCCTACGTCAAGTCTATAAGGTTATTAGCGGGAAATAACGGAGAAATCAACGATGAAGCCCAAGAGAAAAAATGAGGGACACAACGTCTGGTTGGACGCGAGTGTGAACGCTGAGGGACACAAGCTGCACGTAGAAAATGGGTGAGTAATGACTTAAATAATACCGGCTCGTGAAAATCTGCCTTCAGGAAAATGCTTAGAAACAAACAGCAGCATGAAATGGTGTTTAAATGCTGATATAGCAGTTAACTACCTTCACTTATTGATCTGGAAATGATTAGATGTTTAGCATTGTTGTTTTAATTTAACTGAGTTGTGTTTATTTGACGCTTAGCCGTCAGCTGTCAGTCGTTAGCACAGAGCCTGAGTCGTTTGTAAGGAGTCGTGAGTCATTAGCACGGAGCCATCAGTAAGTGTCGTTATGACAAAAGCTGGGATGTTTACTACAAGTTATCTTTGTGGCGCTGTCTAACGTAGTAGTTTCCATCCATCAGTTTCATTCAACTGTACTTGGAACGCTGATTGGTCAGTTCCTGACAAGTGCCTTGAAATGATTGGGGGAGGATTGCTCTACGTCAGCAAACCTCCCCCATTGGGGGGGAGGGGTCGGCGTCATGTCAATTGACCACTTACACATTTAACAGGGTCTGATTGGTTCTTTAGCAACTGCCATGATCCACTTATCTTTAACCCTGTAAACCAGTTATAGCCACTGCAAATGAGACTCATGACTGCTGTGCTGGAAACTGGAAAAATTTGAAAACGTGACAATTTTAAAGATGAGCTAAGCTCATATTTTATGTATTTTACCAACAACTTTCATTCTTCTAATTAGGGTGTGGGTCCCAGATAAACGCTAATGGATGTTAAACATGGTGCACCAAAATAAAACTGGAAATTATTATGAAAGTGAATATGAAATGTAAAAATAACTAAAGAAAATATGTCTGTGATAAAAGACAGACAGCACATGTGACCAAGATCTGCTGGTCTCTTATGAAGGAGACATGCTATAACTGATTTAGGTGAGTGTTATTAGTGATGTCATCACTGCCTAATAACTAAATTCTCTGTGGGGTGTCAAGAGCTTTATAATGCTCCTATAACACAGAGTTGACTTTCTAAGTGGATGACTGACCTGTGGGGGGGTTGCTGCTGTGGTAGATCTTCCACCCGACATGATCTCCTTTGTAATGTCACGCCCACCTTGGTTGGGGTCTCGTATTGTTATCTGGCAGGAAGAAAATCGGTAATGTTACTTCCTAACATATGCTGGCAGAGGGTAATGATCCAGTCTCTTTTGCGCAATTGTTGCCACACAACACAACACCACCGTCATTTTCAGGTAAAGAGAGAAAGTTCCACGTAGGTGGAACAATACGATTTCTCTCCATTCACTTTTTTATCCTCAGAATGTGTGCTGGCCTTTAGTTGGGAGACGCTACCTGCTTGCGTTCCCTCTTTGGCGGGGCTTGCGGCTGTGTGGGTGCTTGCTGGGGAGGCGGAGCTGGTTGTTGTGGGTTGATCATCACCGGCGCTGGCTGGACTGACGCAGAGTACTGCGGCTGAGCAGGGTAGTACGCTCCCGCTGCTCGGAGAAACAGATGCACAGTTTGGTTGGCAAGGAGATTTCAAAGTGGAGCTTCTCTCTAGTTTTACGCTCAACTCTTTTAATACATTTTCTACTACTACTAACAAATAATACACATGCATTACACCTCAATGGCCCTTTTTTAGGACCTGGCATTTTTTTTTGAAACAGTAGCGACTCTAAAAAGAAAACATGTAGGAATGTAATTAGAGACAGGAAGTGCCACAGATTACTGCCACTGAAGCTCGCTGACCACAAGCGCGCGCACACTACTCACCGGGGTAACGCTGGGAGGTGAGAGGAGCACCGTGGAGAGAGAGACGGCCGTTCTCTCGCCCGCCCCCTCTCCCCCCACCACCCCGCCTCTCCCTCGCAGCAAGAGAGGGCTCTGAACCAACGCAGCAAGGAAAAGGGAAAGGGGAGTGAGGGGCCAGGAGGAGGAGGAGAGGAGAGGAGAAGAGAGGGCAGGAAGAGACAGATGCAGTATGAGTTAATGAGAGGATCCAGAGGAAGCAGGGTGTTAAGAAGGTCCCAGGAAATGACCAACAGTTTGATCCTTCCCGCTCATAGGAAACTTCCAATTTACTTTTGGAAATGATTGACAACGTGGCTGGAGAATTTTGACACAATGGGAAATAAAAGCTATTAGTTGAATAAGTATGAAGAATACTTTAAGAACAGTTTCAAAGTTTTACTGTAGCGTGTCCAGACCACCCAGTTGTCTTCTTTTCTGCTTGCATTCCCTTCATGTATAATGACGAGGCAGAAACAGACAAACAAAAAGATATTATTGACTGATCTGCAACATATTAGTTTGAGTGAATCTAGTCAAAGTGATGGCAGATTTATTTCTTATTTTGGGTGATCATTTTTTATTTTTCAGGCTGACCTTTACTGAACGGTGAATAGCCAGGAAAGAGGGAGGGAGGGGAGAGAACGCACGTCTCAAACGTCCCGAGACCGGGCCGTTTGAATGCTAAAACATTTTAGTTTCAAACCTTTGTGTTAAAACCATAATGCAGTTAAAGTACAATCCAAATCTCACACTATCCCAAGCATATTTATGCCATTATGTATCATGTAAAATATTTACATAAAATATTTTTGAAAATGCATGCTGCAATACACAATTACTTGAAGGTCTGCTATATTTAGATGATGGTTTGAAAATTTAGCACCTAAGAAAAGTTGAGTTAATCGTCCAACCAAATTTGAGTATTATTCAGATTTGGTCCCTTGCAGCATTAGATGCCAATTAACCATCTGAGGGTATGCAGACTCATCTGAAACATGAGCTTTAAAGTCATTTCATGGGACCTACAAGGAAGTGTCAGGTGACTGCAGATAGAGAAAACGGACCAAAGCAGAATCAAGCTAGACCACGTGCAACTGGCACTATGACACTTACAGCAGTATTGTAACACAGAGAAGCACCAGAAATAAAAAAACAAACAAACAAAAAAAACAACCAAGCAAAACCATAACAAAAGCAGTGACAATTTCCAGACAAAGGGTAGAAATTATAATCTATATATTGAGGATAATTTGGGGGGGATTTAGTAACTGTCATCTTCTTCAATGGTAAAACTGAAGGCTGTGCTTGGTTGTTATTGTTGGTGTCAGGGTAAAAATCCTTACCGTAAGCAGAGTATTCTGCAGGACTAGTCCCAGGATAGAAACCTGTGCCGCTGGTCACAGGATACTGTTGGGTAGGAGGCATGTATGGAGTACGGTACTGCAGAAACAACATTGAGAACCAGTAAAAAGCTGCATCCTCAGAAACAAACTGTATAACAACAACAGATGAAATGTTATAAATCTTTTTCAGACACTCAAAGACACTTTGTGTGTTAGTAAATGGCAGTGTTGGAACTGTTTCGGAACATTACAACAGGTAGCAGCCGAACCAAAGAGAACCCACCAGAAGGTCCCGTGGTGGAAACTGCATGCAAATACGATTCTCACAGCATAAAGATTTAACAATTCAAAACCACGTCTGCAAAACTTTAATTCAACAAAATCGTGTTCAAAATCGAGATGCCCCATTCAAATTTGAACTCTTATGATATTGTCACATATTGATTTGCTATTCGAATCTATATTAGTAGTTTATTTTACAGCATGTTTAATTGTTTCCTTTAGTTTTAGATGCTAGATTATAAATATCTTACATTTTTAGCACAGTTAAAATTAGTTTTAATATTAACTTTTTTTTTTTTTTTTTAATCTGTAGATAGAATATCTAATTTTCATACAGCAGAGTGGGCGTACGCGATTAAAGATGACTTTAAAAAGACAGTCAAAGCCGGTCCCAAACCAAAACCCAGCTGATGGCTGATAATTAACTCGATTTAACCAACCTGTCCAGATGGGATAAAATAGCCCTGAGGAGAGCCACCGAAAGGAATCTGCTGCTGGGGGATCATCATCATCTGGGAGCTGGTAGGGTACACATGCGCAGGTGCAACAGGTCGAGGGCCGCTGCTTGTCTGCACCCTAGGAGCGCTGGCGGCCATAGTGGGTCGACTCTGATAGTAAGCCTGGAGAAAACACGGAAACTAGAAAACATTAGAAATAAAGCAAGAGAATTGAGAAAAATGTCAAAAATCTCCCCAATTATGCTATGGCTATAGCCCATTTATTCACATATGGTGAGAACGTTTTGGTTGGTGCATTGGTCCTATTGCATCACAGCACCTGCTAATTTCTGCATCAAGCCGAGAGCTTCAATATGGAATCTTCACTGCTTATTCAGTCTTGTTTCCCTGACGGGTTATCGAAGTTAGGAGAGGAGGGGGGAAGAGAAAAGCGGTTACCTGCAATGCTCTGTATCCACCCTTCAGCCGCACAACACGTGAGCAGAGAGCAAGAGAGGGAGTGAGATTAAGGAGAAAATGAAGACTAGAGACAATGAGGAAGGTTGATACTGCAAAAACATTTAAAAAAAAAAGAAAAGCGAAGGCTGTGACAGGAAGCAGTGTGTCCCAAGACCATGGTGACAGATGAACATGCAACTCTGTGAAAAGGTCCAATATCAAGGTGCATAAATAATTTTTAAGGTGTTTGCAGAAACTGGTGTGAAATTACAGCAAGTAATTAATGTTTCAAAATGTTTTTTTTTTTTTTTTTTTTTTACCCACCGTTTAATCAGCCTTTTTTATCTTTGTGGTTTCATTTGCAACAGTGTTCTCAATGTCGATTCCAAACTTATCTTTTTGTTAAATATTTCCTTGACAGCAAAACAGCAACACTTGAGCTCCTACTAGTAGGTATTTCTGAAATTTCTTTTAAGACTATCTCAGCCTCATTACAGTGCAACATATTTACCTCTCTAAGGTTGTTGAAAATCTTTGCAGATGCTCAGAGCCAGGTTAATCCAACTGTGGAGCGCATTGTTACAGCTCATTACATCTGGCCTCCTGTTTGTCTATCACTGTGTGTGATCTATCTGCCTGCGACTTCAGATTATGCGTGCGAGGCAAGCCGTTTAGGGGCTTCTATGCCGACTAAGTCACCAGCTCCGTTGCACCCTAAAACCCATTTGTTTGTTCTGCATTTCTCACGCAGAGCAAACCACAGGCAGCGCGCAGCTCCACATTTTACCTCTGAGTCATGGAGACTCGTTATTTTCTTTAAATGTTTCCTCCACCCCCTGCAATCTGTCTGCACCCACGACATACTCCCTTTAGGACGATAAAGTTGATCTTATCCTTATGCGAAGTTGCAGGTCGACATTGCGCAGTTACGCCAAGTTAACTTTTAAAATGGACAATAGTTCCTAACGGTCTGGGGTCTTTTTTTCCTGGTTTTTTCTGCTCATCATCTCCCGACTTTCTCGATCACCACTTAACCTAAACAGACGGGCGATGTGCAAAAACAAAAACCCATCACGGACTGTGTGCGGAGAAATATGTGGTTGAACAATGTGAAGCTATGTGAAATAAACGAAGAATTGAGGTCTAGGATTTTTCCTCAGGCATTTTTTGCCCTTCCCCCCTATTCTAATCATTCCAGGTATATTTGCAGCTCTAATTCTAACGAATGATCCAACAAGTATTAAACTTGGCTACCAGAGCAGCTTTAATATGTTGGAAAGACAAGCACAGAGGAGTCATGACAGAGACAGCATGAACTGGGATAGCAAAGCAGTAACTTCACTTAATAAAAGACGAATGTTTGACATTACCAGACAGTCAGCCAGAAACTTCCTGGATCAAAAGCTTCTGTCGCAGTAGAATGAATAACCAAAAACCTGACACTGTTTAATTGCATGCACTAAAAGTAGGTTATTATATAAATATCAAAAGGTTGACTCCCAGGTTGGTTTGATTTTAAGTGATTTGTACACATTTATCTGTAAAAATGAACAGAAAATTAATAAAATCCTCCTGCAGAGCTAATTCTTCTATTTTGAAAGGATGATAAATATTTCCAAAAAAAAAAAAAAAAAAGTCTAAAACAAATCCACTCAGATTGTACATAAGCAGAAATACAGAAATGCCAGCAGTCGCTTTGAGTGATGATCTATGCGCCATGAGCCGTGAATTTAGCTTATTTTATTGGTCCTGGCAGTTACTTGAAATATTAAACGCTCACAGTGAGATGACATTATGACTAATCATCCAGGCAAAGATGCACTGATCTTGTGGTTTGCTTGCAGTGTTTTAAAGAAAGATATACTAACTAACTCCCCTTGAGAAGACACCAGGATGACAAGTCAATAAATGAAACTGGAAGGTAAAGAAGGAAATCACAATTACCGAGATCAGGTGAACCCGATTTGAGATAATGGACAAAAATATAAGCCATTATACCGTAAGAGATATTTTTCCCCTCAATCTACAAGCAGTTAAAGTGGAATCCAATAATATTTTTATCTTGCATATTTTGGAGATGTAACAAAAACTCATGTCGATATCAAACTGATGAAGACAATACAAAATCCGTGGATTACAATTTTTTTATTTTATTCTTTGCTAATTCTAGCAAAGACATCGTCATAAAAACTGCCTTAAAAAAAAGATGCTCATTCTGCCATCTAGCAAATTGAAATTTTTTTTTGGTAAATCTAATTGACCTAAAGTTTAGCTAGTTTTAGGAGAATTTAATGGACAGAGGAAGTTGACAAAAAAAAAAGTTTTATGGATACTGAATAAAATAATTAATGGGTCTACTTTTTAAACACTGTGTTACCCTACTGGAAAAAAATATCAACTGTGGTGTGAAGAAATGCATCTCAAGAATGAAGTGTCAGCCTAAGAAAAAAAGAAAGAAACTAAAGACGATTTTTGGGTGTAATTTCTAAAAATGTGGTCGTGAGAACATGCATTACACTAAAGGCAAAGAAGGGATATATATGGACAAAGTGAGGAGAGTTAGTACCTGTTGGTGTAAAGTACGAGGCCCTGTAGCAAACTGGGAGGACAGCAGAAAAGAGTAAAGAGGTCACAACAGACATTGAAGGCAGACAAACACTAAGCCAAAGCAATGCAGCAAAAGAAGCCATGTCAGAAGTCCAGGTGAAAGAGCGGGAAAGACTTCCGGCGCAGCACATCAAATCCCAAAACCCAACCAACATGAAGAAATACCTGTCTCGGCTGCTGTGCGGAGTTCATTTGTGGAGGTGGAGGGGTGGCAAAAACAAGAGAAGGTGGTTGTCCGGGGCCGTATGCAGCCTGGAGGAAAAAAAAACAAAAAACAAAAAACAGAATAACTTTATTACAGATCTCCAATTTCCTCAATCAATACATTCCACCCAGAAGGTAGGCCTCACCTGGGTTAATCCAGGAGACGGGGAGGGATTTGGGACAGAGGTGGGTCCCGTTATAGGTTGTGGTGGTTTGTTCATTTCACGTTCTTTTATTCGTCTGCATTAGGGTGGCTGTGTGTTGCCAGCCTTTGAGAGAGAGAGAAAAAAAAAGAAAAAATGACAAGTATTTCAACATCTAAATAATGTGTTTAAAAAGGTTTCCAATTAAATCACAGTTATTACAAAAATAAACTGCCTATAACTGAATAATTCGAGGCATGGGTGCAACATGTTGCCCAATTATATTTGCAGCAATAATGGGTAAGAACACCACTGTATGGACACATCTCTAGTGTGGCACCACCACTAAGCAAAGAGGGTGTGGTCTGTGGGCTTTGCCCAAGATAAAACCATGACCACCACCTCCCACACGTGCATATTGTGTATCCAAAGCATTAAGCATAAACACCAGTTAAAGTCAAAGAAACATTAATATAAGTACAATTTAGGTTTTGTCCATCCAAATCTTTACAAAAGACAAGGGGCATACAATGGCAAACGGGGGAAGCTACTAATTGCTGGTTCTACTGGTTTAAAGACATATTTGGCTGACAGAGTAGCTGTCAGGCAAATATGTCTTTAGCTAACAGCTAAAGACAAATTCCAGTATGTTTAAGAAAATGGATACCTCAGGTCAAAGGGCATTTGCTGTGTTAACAGTGTTGTGCTAGGTCCATGTGGGCAAATAAGCTGTACAAGTACCGCGAGTTTATGTTAAGGTCGATGAATTTTCAATTAAACACAAAAGAAAAGCTTATTAACATTTTAAAGATCGTACATAACAACAACATGAAGGAACTGCAGTGGAAAAACTGATGTTTCGAACAGGCATGACATTCTGACACAGGAACCGTCGTTAGCTGCTAGCTAGTGCCATGCTTTAGGGGTTTAAGCCACAACTCTACCATATGGTTGTGAAGCGTGCAGTGACGGATAGCCGGCGTGCGAACCCTCATTAAAGATGACGGGTGTTCAACGAAAAGATTATTATGTCTTAGCAAAAATGTGGGTTAACATGAATTTTACCGACCCGCTAGCGTGGCAGGCGCTCGTAAATCGTAGCTACCAGCCTGCGTGCTAACGTTACGTGTCCCGCTACCACAGACATTTTCTGTAGTTACGCTACGTGGCTCAGTCCGCATTTAACCCCGGAGTACATGGCGTTCAATTTGGTACGTACTAATAATGGGCGACACGTTTTGTCGGAAAACGCGAGAACGAGGAAACAAAGTGTTCCCGAGTAAAGTGGCTGACACGTTCTGGTTACTGTGGAGCTATTGTTGGTGAACGTCAGCTAGCCGTTTAGCGCTGAGAGTGAGATGAGCAAATTAAACAGGCCCAAAAAGCCACACGATCAAATGAACCCATCCAATCTATCATTCAACCATGTCCTTAGCAGATAATAATTTCACTGGTAACTTCGTATAAAACAAAGCTTTGCAACAAAGGCGCTGTCTGCACACATGATATAACAGGGTTAACACCAAAACGAGGTAAGAAGTAACTGATGAAAATAACCGGTGAAGATTAGCCACCAACTGTCATTTCAGCGAACCTCAAGATAACTTCAGTCAAACACCGCGAACAGCAGCTCAAAGTATAAGCACTCAATTAATAAATGTTAAACTGAACTGACTGCAAAAGTTTTTCTCTGAAATAAAGCAGCATTCATCTGCTTGCTACCCAAGCAAATGTGCTGACAGCCGGCCGGGCCTGCTCAACCTGCATGCCTTTGACAAAACTAATACCTAGCTAGAGTGAACGTAAAGCTAGCATCAACAAGGCTAACCGGCCTAATTCTTACCAGGTACCAACAGTGTCAGGGTCGTAAATTGGGAACTTGGGGTATCAGCCTCTGGTCAGTCTTCTGTTGGTGAAAGTTTGTTTGCTTGTCCTTCCTGCAACAGACGAGTGAAGCCCTTCTTGGCTATTGACTTTAGCGAACTAGTTGGCTAACCGGCAGATGGGGTGAGTGCTACTGATGTCACTTCGGTTTAAATCCCAGGATGTTCAAAAGTGACAGTGGTTTAAAAAATATATAATAATATCGCTCTTCGGGAGTGCTATTGATAATTGCGATAACTCCCAAATAAGCCTCTGGACTGGAGGTCCATGATCAAGGCGTCGATGGTGACGGATTGCCGGTTAGATTTGTACTCTCTCGTACGCAAGGCTTAGAGAGAGGCCATAGTGCGATGTTTCTGCTGCTCGGAGCCGGTGCGCCTCCAAGTCGCATGGGTAAGTTCCGGGGAAATTACAATTTGATGCCGGTTCCTTGGTCATGTGACACTGGAGAGTAAATCATTTGAGGAAGCGTAGAAGAAATATTTTTATTGTATAAAATGAAATAAAAAAAAAAAGATAATAGATGTCTGAAAAATAAATAAATAATAGCATACAGTAAAAATGTTTTAGTCTCAGTAATGGAGGGTTCAAAGGATATCGAGTTTGATTCGCTTTTCTGCTATTATTCCTTTTTTTCCCTCTTCTTTTTGTGAACCTAATTTGTTTTCAAGCAGCAAATAACCACTGGAATATACAAAATGCTGCACCATTATGGAAGCAAAATTATATTTAAAAACAGAATTAAAACAAAATTTACATGAGACAAAAAAAAATCCACAAAATATTACAAATATATAATAATAATAATAATAATAATAATAATAATAATAATAATAATAATAAATGTTCTGAATAATCACCATTAAAATATGTTGATAGTGCATGTTGAAATTATGCTTAAAAAGTAATCAAAGCAAAATTTATTCAATTATCCTAAAAGTTAGATTAAGAATAATCATTTTTATTACATGACATACATAGAGAAACTCAAAAACATCCCACAAAGAGTTATTAAATTACTTGTTTCACTTGTCCAACCAATTAACTGAACTGCAGAGAACTGTAACTCCAAAAGTAAGTGAAAACATCATAAATAATAAAAAGCCCAATATGCTTCAGAATTGAACTAAACAATTTGTTTTACCTCTAATATTGTTCCTATTTCTGGATTCATCTATTTGCATTTTCCCTCTGTAAATTATCCAATTACTGATTTGTTTCTCAAATTATTCTAAAAAATTTAGTTTTGTATTTCACAATAATTTGCAGTGGAATAAAGCAATAATAGTAATCAAATATTTTTAAAAATATATTTGTTTATGTGTCTTATTTCAGTGTGCATCACTATTTTATTATACATATATAAGGAGGAGAGTCTTTCAGAGCATGCCAGGAGAGGAGTGCACAGACTGGACCAGCTTGATTTTCAGAGATAAAAAGCGACCTAAGCATATCAGTGATACAGAAGTCCTCTGCCTGCTGCACATTGCCAATTTACATGTGTTACATTAGGTTCAACATTGTGGTTTCAATCTGATGAATTTTAATAAATATTCTTGAGTCCTCATGTCCGATTTGGTCTTTGGAAAAAGGTTGATCTGTTGGCTTTGTGCAGTGGTGTCCAATCATTTTGGAACAGGAAGGGGTATTTTCCTTAACTGAGTCCAACTGAAAGACAATCTCTCATTATAATCCACTGATGTAATTCTGTAATTTGACAAAGCCTTCCACTTTGCTGCGCACAATTATGTTGATGCTGATACACTAATTGTTGACTGCTTATTATTCGGTAGTGAGTAAATTGAATCCCAGAATTTAATTCACAGGTTTCATCCTATGAAGGCACCATGTTTAGTGACCCATTCCTTTACAGAAGTTTGTAGAAATATACATCCCTGCCTCCTGGATTTTATAAACATGGAAGTGATTGGAACAACTGGATTCAATTACTTTGAGAGTGACCCGGGATGTTTGCTAATAAAGTACCTTCAAACACAATTCAAATTTTCATCTCTTTAGACTCACAATTCAAATTCCTTCAGGATAAAAGCTTTATGATCTGCAATACCAAAATGTTCAAATTTCAAGGAGTTTAAGGGAAGACTTTCAAAAGTAGGAACTCAATGCTAATTGTAAAGCATGTTGGCGGCAGCATCCTGCTGTTTTGCTAACAGTGGCACTGATGCAACGCCACAAATGGGTGGAATGATGAAGTTGGAGGACTGCCTTGTTTTCTTCAACTTCACACAAACTCAACAGCGAGACGGTTGAAACTTGAACAAAATGCCTGTGATCAAAGTGAAACTTGCTATAGAAAATGTAGCCAAATATTAAAAATATAGGCTCATTTGAGTGAATAAGGACATATAACTTAGAAGTGTTAAACAGAAACCACACTATCCACAAAGAAAAGGTTTGACAAGTTTTATTTGGGAAAAGTCAGACACTGAACAAAGCAAAGTTGATCAGTTAAAGTTGGAAGTTACAACAGCTACAACGACTTGGTCACATGGAAACTGATTTGAAGTTTGTAATATTTCTGTGCTGATTGTGCATTAAAAAAAAACAGGCAGCAAGATCAGTTTGAACAAGGTGATGTGATTTGGGAGGTTGAGTGTAGGAAGTGTAGTTGAATCACTGATGTCCAACTTGGGTGGAAAACTGTCAGTGACACTTTTAAGGTTGCTGACAGGCATGGAAAGTGCAAGATTTCTCCAGATCTGTTGAGAGGAAAGAAATCAGTATATATTCAGATGCTGAACAGAAATGCATTCCACAAGCAATACATTTTAAAAAAAAAAAAAATTGTAGTCCACTTAGTACAACTGAGATTAGCACGAACCTGAAGCAGTGTCAGCGCATTGTCTGAGTGAGGACATGGCGTTCATGTACTCTTGTCCCAAAAACTGGTCATAGGTTTTTCCTGAAGTAACTTCCTGGAGACATTTGGTGGAGTCCTTGAAGAGGAGGTTCTTTCCATTGGCGGACTGGAACATTCTGAACGTAGAATCACTGCCACCGGTTCCAAACTTGGTCTGTAAAGACAATGCAAAATTAGGTTTTCATAATTGCTGTGTTTTACTGTACTGTTTCATTATGGTTGCGTTGCTACTGACTTTGAGAGCTGTAACGTAAGTTTTCTGATCTATGCTCTGCTTTAAACAAAGTCAAACAGCGTTCCACTGCATAGAAAAGACTCTACTTCAAAAGTAATATATTGTGAGATATAAACACATCCAAACATCATGTTAAACGTGAAGGAAAATTAGTTAACATATGGCTATACATGACCTCATAGTAATGTTTAATTTTTTGAAAACTGATTGAAAATTTGCAGGAAAATATTTTAAAACCAAATAAAATTTTCATTCTGCTTTGCATTAATTAATTAGTATGGTTCCTGCGCAAGCAAAATGCAGAATGCATTTTATTGTAAAAAAAAAAAAAAAGAACAAAAGCTACGACAAAAAGTAAATGTTATTTTCATTCTTTTGAAACAAAGTGTAAACTATTATGTGAATATTCAACTCTCTTTTGCTTATTATGTGGGGGGGAAAATTCAGCCTTATACATTTGAAACCTACAATTGCCTTTAATGTTCGTCACTGACCTGTTGGTCTTGCAGGATGCGGACCACTTTGTCACGAACATCAGGCCGAGTTACCACAGCGTGTGCCGGGACAGCAGCCAAGTGACAAGAAACAAAGTCCTCGACTGGCACTGGATCCTTTCCAGGGCAGATCAGCTGGTAGTCGGCAGAATTCACACCACGAGCCCAGTCAGGACCATTACCTTTGATGAGAAAAAAACAATGAAACATAGAGGGATACAGAGGGATGCTGAAATTTTCCAGCTAGCAATTCAGCAAAGAGGCAGAGCATAATCAGGTCAGTTCATGTCTCTTACCATCACTGTTTTCTGAAACGATTGAGTGTTTAATGAAGGCAACGTCACCAGCACCCTCTACCAGACATCTGCAACAATAAGCCATACATGATTTTATTCTAAATGAAGCGTTCCTGAAATAGATCTCAAAATGTTAGCATGATCAAAAAAAATTTTTAAAATCCCAAAGGCATTCAAAGCTTTACAGGATCACTGCTAAGTCTTTGGTACCTGAAAGCTCCAGCATAGCCGTAGTACTGCTCTTCAGCACTGGCTTTGCACTTGGCTTCATCTCCCACGGCTTTGCCGCTGCCTTTACACTCACGGCAGAATGGAGAGTTGGCTTCGGCTCCGGGGGCACAACCGCTGGAGAAGAAAGTATCTGCGGAGAATCAGAGGATCATCCATCAGCTGGGCTGAGAACTTCCTTTTCAACGAGGATTCTTATTAAGTCCACAAAGAATCCTTCCACTGAGTTTTCTTGTTATTAGAACAAATTGTGTACCTTGTATTTAAATGTTATATAATCACTTTGTACTGTACTTTTTCCCAGTTGACTGTTTCACTTACCAAACTGACAGTTTTTAGTCTGGGCATAGATGTGACCCATCGGGATGTTCCAGCCAGCTGTCCTGCCAATGCCTGTGTGGCAGGATTTCTTTCCCTGCAGATTTGCCCAGGTCACCCCTGAAGACTTCTTTACCACAGCAACAGCATAATAAGAGGAGGCTGTGTCTGTGAAATCAAAAAATACAAAGGAGATTGGTTCTAGCAACAACAAAAAAAGTCTTAAAATATTGCTTCAAAAGAGAACATAGTGACTTAATTTGTGAGAGACCAGTGTGAGTAGAGGATTTAGATAAGTTTAGTGACCTCCTGAAATAAAATCTGCCAGTAAAGAAACTTTTAATGCTCACGGTTTTTCTGGTCTTACACAAGTTTTTACACGTTTAACATTTGCTAAGTAGCAAAAAAAAAAAAAAAGAATTTTGATTGGACATTATGTGATAAATCAGTACAAATTTGAATGGTAAGAAAATAGAAGAAAGTTATTATTTAGATTTTTTTTTCTTTTTACAAATGAAAATGTACAAACTGTGGTAACCAAATTCAACCCACTTCACATTAAGTCTTTTTTTTTTTTTTTTTACAACGGATTGCCTCCTTCTAATTAGTAGCTATAGTCCATGGTTGTATATTTGAATCTCAATATAAATACATCTAAACACATAAATTATTGAAGAAAGACTATTAAAGGCAAAAAACAGGTCGACCTATCGGGGGGCGGGGGGGTTCCTACATCAGGACAATTTGAAAGACTTAACAGCTGTGAAAAGTGATTCTACAAAATTCAGACTCCAAGGTTCTGAATACATACTGTATGAATGTGGTGCTTTTCAGATTTTCAAGTAGGAAATAAATTAGAATAACCATGAATCCTTTTTGTTCTACTTCGCAATTGTGTTGGCTTAACACATAAAATTAAATTGAAGACATTGAAATTTATGATTATATCTT